CGTTGGCTTGCTACCTCTTCCACATAAGTTTCGGAACCGTCACTCACAGTCAGGCCGAAATGCTCCATCAGTCTGTCTTGTAGTGTTGCTTTCCGTCCAATAGTCGATAGCCCTAAATCGCCTAACCTTTCCTTCAGACCGTCAACAGTCATCTCAAAAATTTCGTTATGGTTCATAATTTACAGTTTTGTACAAAGAATCGATAATATTTAAAAAAAATCTCAATTTCAATGATTATATTTTCTTTTAGTTTGCGTTACAATATTCACTTTTGCCGCGTACAATTTTAATAACTTCTTTGTTAAACAAATTTTATTACAATATTCGTTTTAACTTTTCCGCATAATGTTTTTAAAGAGAAATGTTTTCTATAAATCGAACGTTTTAAAACGTATTTTCGTCAACTAAAGTTTGCTTCGATATTCGCCAGAACAACAACAAAATTTTCACAAAAGTATCCAATAACTTATTTTACGTTATTAAAAAAAATGTACAATTGTATACCAAAAAGACTTAAATGTTTCTCAAATGAAAGGTGACGCCACCTCCAACTGTATTTTACCATACTGTATATGCCCGCCGTTACTGACGCCGATGCTGCTGCTACTGCTAATGCTGTTACTGCTACTACTGCTGGTGCTGTTACTGCTACTGCTGCTACTACTGGTGCTGTTACTGCTACTGCTGCTGCGTCTTCGCCGACGCTGAGCCTTGTTGCTAGCGCTTATCGACAGTCAAGCTGTACCGCCCCTCCGTAATGCGGTTTGAGTGATGCAATTTTCGCACACCAGGGACCACTTATAAGAATGAACGCGTTTAAAATCTATAAAGATTTTCAAATTGATCACGCAAATCGCACTTTCCAATCCCGAAATCAAATCGAACTTCTGACACCACTTGTAGGATACTTTTTAAAAATTCACGCATTCCTTTTGTATTTGTAATATTTATTTTAAATATAAATCGCAAGTATTTCCTCTACTCTAATTGTACATACTATTAGTGTTTTACAAAAGTTTTATTATTTTATGTAGCTTCATATGCACACATGCATGTGGAGTGGTCCGTGGTTGCCGGTGGTCTGTCCGTTTGTCTGTCCTTCGTTCGTCTTCGTACCTACTGTTTCGTTGTCATTCCAGTCCGTCCGCTGCTGTCACATCTATTACCTACGCAGTGTTGCATTCCTGTTTCAGTCCTATTGTCCGTTTAYACAGTCCTACATGTATTGATGAATAAATTAAGTCAAAAGTTCAAYGCTTAATAAGGTTTTTGGTGCGCGATCCATTTTGTAAATTGATGGTTAGCGCGTGAATGCCATTAAATTGACACTATACTCTTTGGTTCGAGAGAGAGCTGTCAAAACCCGAATATTTTATAACATTTATCAATGATAGCACTGTTGAAAAATATTAGATTGGACATTTTATAAATAACTTTTGGGTATTTTGCAATTTGCACATTACCCCTGCGGTATGCAAACATCGCGTTAACCATATTATTTTTGGGTGGTCGGTTCTCCAGTAGGCTTATATCACCCATTTATATAAATAATTTTACAATTTAATTTTTTAAATTTAATTTATCTAATTCTACAAAATTTCAAGAACTCACTAATTTCGGCTGTTCGTTTTAGCGATAGAGGGATATCAGAATCCTCATTTTTCATTAGCGCCTGATTGACGGGACCCTGAATGTGTTTTGTTGACAGCTCAGAAAAAAAATCAGGGGGGTCAAAAAGGGGGTACGAAAGAGTTTCTAATCAGTTTATATTTGTGAATGCTACACATTCTATATAGCATTGTAGAAACATAGAAGTAACAAAATAATCATATGGTCGTCAACAGCTGARATCACCTAATCGAAATAATTGATTTTTCGGCACAGATATTTAAATAAAAGGACTTACAAATAGTAAACAGGTTGCAGTATAGGCGCGTTAGCAATATTTTTTCGGCGTTAGGTTTTCTAAGGGGCCTACTTTCACACATATAAAATATACAGTACTAAACAAACCTATTAGTAATAATTTAAAGAAAAATAGATAAATTCTTCAAATATTTTTAATAAAATAGAGTAGATTTCCCAATATTTGGATACAATAAATAAAATTTTAATCAAAATTAGGTAAATTTAATCTTTATGTATATTATAATCGAAATATATTTAAAAATTTAACAAAAACGTACTTAAAATAATAAATTGGATAACATAATACGACAACACACTCGTGCCTTTTCTAAAGCGGCCCACTAATGACAAATTTGTTTGACAAATCTGTTTGAAGACGGTTGAGCACTCACGACAAACCGATTTGACAAACTTTATTTCCATTGTGTGCTTCGCGGAGTGAACATGTCTGATTATAACGCGGAAGATGTAATTGCGCTGCTAGTAATACACCAGTGCATGAAGCGAAAAAAGCTAAATGCAAAAAAAAAATTATGAAAAAAGAATGGATGAAAGAGTGGTTATGTGAGAGATACAACCACTCACATGTAAAACTATTAAATTCAATGGAGCTGACTGCTCCTGACGATTTTAACAATTTCCTCAGGATGGATTCCAAAACGTATATGGATCTCCTTACTGCAGTCACTCCTGTAATAAAAAAGGAAGACACAGGAATGCGTGAAGCGATTACAGCAAATGAGAGACTCTCCGCAACATTGAGGTTCCTCGCAACTGGACAAAGTTTTGAGGATCTCAAATTCTTAAGAAAGATTTCCCCACAATCTTTAGGCAGAATAACAATTGAGACGTGCAGAGCAATAATTTCATCATTAAAATCGTTTATTACGGTATGTAAAAAATAATATTATTTATACATATTCTTTGTTATCAAAAAACTGTTGGAACGAGTTTGTTGGAGTTATTATTTCCTGAGAAATAACTTCCACAGATTGATGTTCTGGAAAAATTTCCTCGGATGGAAGCATTTGCAAACTAATTGGTGAAGACGGAAAGCTCGATTCGTTAGTTGGAGTTGAGTTTGCAAATCTTTGAACAACAGGATACCTCAATGGCTGCATTCCAAGGTTAAGGCTGCTCGAAAAGGATAGATGATTCAGCTGACCGTGCATTAGAGTGTCGTTGCCAAGTTGAAGTATTTATATGATGAAGGGCTTCTATGTTTACCTGAGCCGGAAAAGCTACCACTGTCCGAAGATATATTTCCATTCGTATTCGTAAGGGGTGATGCATTTCCCCTCTTGAAAAATCTAATGAAATCGTACAGCCGCTCTAATTTATCGATCGAACAGCGAATCTTTAACTACCGACTTTCTAGAGCTCGACGTATTGTATAAAACGCATTTGACATTTTAGCCAGCCGTTTTCGGGTATTTCACACTGATATAATGTTGAATCCAGAAAAAGCCACATTAATTGCAACTGCCTGTTGCTATTTACACAATTATTTAAAAGTAAAAAATGAGTCAATTTATTTGAGAAACTCCAACGAAATGGATACTGGGATTACTACAAATGACTATTTGACAGATTTGRAGCCGACAAAGTATACCAACTCTTCCACAAACGCCAAGCATGTTCGCGATAAATTTTGTAATTACTTTAGTACTGTTGGTGCAGTGCCTTGGCAGAATGAATTTATATAAGCTCTATAAATTTTTGTAATAACTCCAATTTTTCTCAAAATAAAGAATTATTGCTTCTCATAATCTACGAGTATGTACTTACTTTTTCAATATCGATAGATTCGTCGAATGAGCAAAATCCATCTGTTTGCACCTCTTGGTCACCCAAAAATTCCAACTTATTGAAGTACCATAGATTTGGTACATATATTTCCTCAACACCTGCCCCAGACTTTTCGCTCTTGCGTACCTTCACCAATTCACGTCTATATGCAGTGCGTAAACAATTAATTTTTTTTTCACTGCGTCAAATGGCGCATCCTTATAAATTTCTTTATAYTTCGAAGTTAAATTTTTCCTTTTGCACTGCCATAAGGCCGGTTCATTTTTAAATAATTCAATAAACTCTTCCAAAAAATTTTTGCTCACGCTTGCCATTTTTTTATCCGCTGATGTTTACTCTGCAAAGATTTCAACCAACTGACCAAATGTTTGCAAACCACGCCACTCACGACAAACGAATCCTCAAATCGGTTGTTAGTTTTTGAAATTTGTCGCAAACCTTCAATCYGKTTGACAACATGCCCACTCACGACAAAAACCACCTCAAACTCAAACAGATTTGTCAAACAAATTTTTCGTGAGTGAGTCGCTTAAGGCATTTGGCCGTTTTAGTAGTAGAATATTTAGGAAACCCTAATGAACTGCCTGGGTTTTTGCCCTGAGTCTTCCCTTATTCTATTGCATTCTTAATGTAATTTCTGTCTTCTAAAAGCTTTCGGCTGTGTATGTATGGGTGAAAATGATAGGATTTGTTACTTGTAGGTTTATACAATGCTATATAGTTCGCTCCGGTATTTATTCAAAACTATGTTTTTRAAAGAATAAATAATATATACAAAATATTGTGTGTATTTAAAAATACTAAAAATGTATATATATTTAACTAAATTATTAATTTCTAATCAAAATTGCACAATGTTTATTTGAATTTCATTATAATATTTCTTCGTATCGGAGATTTAAAAAGAAAATTCGCCGAAGACTCAATATTGATCGCTCGTTCCTATAAGGGGCCTTACATGACACACATGTGCGTTCGCTCTGTATGAAATCGTTTCTCTCTTCCCACAGTGAACATGTGCGACAAGCAAGCGGAAAATTGTTTGTCCGCGATTTTCCCTATTCGGCGAAACGTGTGCACACTGATCGCAAAAAATCAAAAAAATCGCGAACATGGATCGGTATGCGCACAAGTCTATATACGAGTAAACCGTCGTGTATGGCCACTCTAAAACCAAGATGCGATTTTCAAAATATATATAAAATGGTGTGGTATGTGTGTGGCCCTCAATATTGTATACTAAACGATCAATATTTATCACGATATGTAAAAATTGAAAATGTAGTACCCTTTGATAAATTGTCTACGATTAGATTATCGATATTATRAAGGAATTCTCAGAAATCAAAAACGTAAGAGTAAACAATTGTAACATCGAAGGATTACTTTATTGTTTGTTTACTAACTTCAACAAATCGAGCAATAGAGGATAATTTATGTACATTTATTAAAGGTAAGTAAATGCTTCGATTGAGCTAAAACACATAAATGGGTAGGAATCGAAAAAAGTTTTGTTAATAAAAGAAAAAAATGAGGTCCCACGATATCATGGTTAAAATGGATATGGTTGGGAAGAGGAGATTCTCTGTATATATATGTGGATAATCGTAGCCGTCCGATTACCAAAATTTTACCATTTTATAACGAAAAAATATATAAAAAAGCAAGCTTCTGTACAGTATATTTCAAATTAAAATGAGTAGAAACAATATTTTCATGCATATGGGTATTTTCTTATTTAAATTTAATAAAATACTTAGATTACATAGGAGTTTTACGCAAAAGTACTTACTTCAGTCACCCTAGGTATTGGTTCGATCAGGGTTATTCTTTTAAAGCGGGGCTGAAGACTGCCAACGCAGAAAGGAGTACTAAGCGAAAGTACTTTAGTAACCTCGATATGATATAATTGGTTCAGCTGTTATCAAAAAAATAAAATTCCCGCTGAGAATAATATTTCAACCCCAAAAATTATCATGTTAAAACATGAACGTCAAGCTCTTTTCAAGAAATATTTCTAACGGTATTCCGCGAGTAAAACAAAAAGCATAAACTTGAGCTGTTTACACCATTTCCAATGTTATGAGTTCAAATCTGTCACAAAAAAGTAGGAGTGTGAGCTACCCCAAGTGTATAAAACATTTTTTTAAAATAAAATCTGTAAAAAAAGGGGAATGTTTAGTATCGCGCCGGCTAAGTATCGTTTATGGAGAAAAACAGGGTCGGGCTATCCCCCCTCCCGACCCCTTATTGGAAAGAGGAAGGATCGAACTTTTTAATAAACCC